ATTAAATTCAATAATTTCAGGAATTTATCTGTTATAGGATTGTCTGCAATGGGAGAAGGTAATCAGAAAACAGATAATACATCTGACAAGGTAATTAATCTCATTAAATATCCATATCTACTTTGTAAATCGATAAAATAATTACATTTTATATCTCTACATTATGTTGTAGTCTCTAGACTCTTGTAAATTAACTCGGAAAGAATCATATAAGGCTCAAAGGAAAAATTATAGAATGGAGAAAAAACGTGTTGCTAATGAACTTCTCAGTTCATTTAAAGATCCAACTGTTATTGTGATGAGCGATTGGCTAAAAGTGCGTGGCACACTGAAGAGTTGGACAAAGCTGTGGTGTATTTTGAAGCCAGGTTTACTCTTACTGTACAAAAGCCCTAAAACAAAAGTTCATATCTATGTTATTTCTGGTATATTGTTTGTGTTTCTTTTTCACTCAAAGTTACAAACATGTAATTGTTATAGAGCAATCATTGGGTAGGAACAGTCTTACTGAATACATGTCAAGTGATAGAACGACCAAGTAAAAAGGATGGCTTTTGCTTTAAATTATTTCATCCTTTGGAGCAATCAATTTGGGCTCCAAGGGGACCAGAGAAGGAGACCATAGGTAGGTATCGAATTTTCTAGAAGTATTATGAAGAGCAACTTTTTGCATAATTTTATATTATCTTTTAAGGTGCTGTTGTACAACCCTTGCCAACTTCTTACTTGATCTTTAGAGCTCCTTCACAGGCAGCTGGTAAATGTTGGTTGGACGCGCTTGAATTATCTTTACGTTGTTCCTCACTTATAATCCGTTCAACAAGTGCATTGCCCCGTGCTCTGCCACTTGATACTACAACAACTCATGAAACTCAATGGAGTGAAGCTGATTATGAAAAACATTTTGATGAACATGGTAAGTGACAGAAAAGGATATCTTTAAGCAAAACTAGTTCTGTATTTAACAAATAACATTTATGAGTCAAGCTAATAATGTTTGCTTTCAAACCATTGCATACATTTAATTTTACTAGCTAGAAGAGTATATAACAGCATTTAGAAAATTACTTAGTTAAGTTTCATTCTTGGTGATTACAAATATTAATGGTGTCATTATTATAACTCCTTTCCTGGCATCTATCACCTTGAACACTTATTTCCTATTCCTAAAGTATGTTTATCTAATTATGCTCCTCAATCGCCTGCAACCCCTCAAAGACGTTTGTTATCATGCCAACAATCACTCTTACCTAATGCAACCGATACTCCTAGAAGTGCTTGTCCTTCACCGACTCCAATGTTTCAACAATTATACCATGCAATTGCATATTGGGATAAACGGTTCTGCGACAGATCTCCAACACCTGCCACAGATACAGATGTAGCAGAAATTTCAAATTCTGTGGGGGCGTTAGGTGATGGAGATATGTATCATAACAGATCACACGCTGAAATTAAAGCCCTAAACCGTGTGCTATCTACCAATAGACGCATGACTCTTCCCTCTATACATGTCCTTCAGTATGACACCCCACAAGTAGTAACGCTAGATCCTGTGCACTCCTCACACACAGACCTGGACGACATTAGCCAACCTGAAAATGGAGTCGCAGCCGACGCAGAGATCAGTGCATCGGACAGTGAATCTGAAGGATCAGCTAAAGAAGATCAGCCTGAAACAATCAACGAAACTCCATATGTTGCAAACGAGAATGAAATTCTTGGATCGGTAAAATGAATCACGTAATTTTGTGTACACTGATAATTACTGAAATTTAATTAAAATTCAAAATACAGGCTGGAGAAGTTGTCACAGAATTACAAGAAGAGCAAAAATCTTTAATATGGTTCCTAATGAAACAAGTTCGGCCAGGCATGGATTTATCCAAAGTAGTTTTGCCAACTTTTATTTTAGAACCTCGTTCATTTTTAGAGAAACTGGCTGATTCCTATTATCATGCAGACTTGTTGTCTCAGTAAGTTAAATAAATGTTTATTAATGTACGATCACAGATCTGTATAATTTATTCATGTTCATTACAGAGCTGTGTTAGAAGATGATGCATTTACACGTATGAAAGGTGTTGTCAAGTGGTATTTATCTGGTTTCTACAAGAAACCTCAAGGTTTGAAAAAACCATATAATCCATTATTGGGCGAAACCTTTCGTTGTTATTGGCAGCATCCTAACGGTTCAAGGACTTTCTACATAGCTGAACAAGTAGAGAGTTTATATTATTATTAAAATAAAACTTTTTAAGAATTACTGAAACTACACTTATAATAATTTATCCTTACAGTTGTCTCACCATCCACCTATATCAGGATTCTATGTAACAAATCGTCAAGACGGGTTTACTATTAGCACTACAATTATTGCTAAATCTAAGTTTTATGGTGAGTATACGCAAACTAACGTGCAATAAATTTCCTGAAATAAGTACTCCAAATGATCATATATTTCTCTTTTTCAGGAAATTCAACATCAGCTGTTTTAGATGGAGTTGCAATATTAACAATGTTACCTAGAGGAGAAGATTATACAATGACTATACCATATGCTCATTGTAAAGGTATCTTTATGGGTACATTATCTATGGAATTGGGTGGTAAGGTTCAAATAAATTGTGAGAAAACGGGTTATCATACTGAAATAGAATTTAAGCTCAAGGTAATTAACGTTATATAAAGTTAAAATTGAAAATGCACATTATATTTATGTACAAATCATTATTTTTGTTACAGCCATTCCTTGGTGGAGCAGAACAAATGAATCAAGTAGCAGGAGCGATACGTTTAGGAAAAGAAACTCTTGCTACTATATCAGGATATTGGGATGGTCAAATAGTAATTACTGACAAGAGGGCAGGAGTACGTAATACACAAATATTTGTTATGCTAATAGTGATAGTAGATTAATGCCTTGTATAAATTAATACCACGTTGATTTTATAGCAAGAAAGTGTATTCTTTAATCCAACGCCAGAAGTGCGCAAAAAGAGATTGAAGAAATATACAGTACCAATAGATCATCAAGGTGCATGGGAAAGTGAAAAATTATGGTGCGAAGTTACTCAAGCAATTAATCGAGATGATCAAGTTGCTGCTACCGAGGCGAAAACTCAGTTAGAAGAGGCGCAGAGAGAACGTGCTAAGGAACGTAAACTTAAGAGTCAAGAATGGATCCCTAAACATTTTGTCCAGGTATTATGATCTCTATCCATATGGAGATGATTTGGAAGTAGTAGTAAACATTCTTTTTGCCCCTTCATTTGATAAGATTATTAAATTTTATTGTTATTCGGGTAAAATAATTAAATTTTTACTCTTGAAAAGTGACATTTTGTTAACAGGACATCATAACGGGCAATTGGGTGTATCGACATGCAGATGTTAGACCCTGGGATCCTAGAAATGATGTTGTGCAATACGAACAAGACTACATTGTGCGCACTAAAACTAGACATAAAACACCAATTATGCGTACTGGCAGTATCGTTTCAACTGATCCCCAAACACAGGTACAGGAATGCCAAAGTTAAACGACAAAATGCATGTTCATATTGCAAGTATAAAGTAATAGTATTAAAATCATTTGACCTATAATCATCTCCATATTGAAGACGAATTCATTATGTATGTACAATTATTCAATACATTTATAGTATGGTATTTATAATTATGGTATTCAATACATTTTATAATAGTCTTATTACATCTGTTTATAAAGTTTAAAGTTGTGTATATGCATTTTGTTGTTTTTAACTCTGCGATAAATAGAAGACATGTGTGATAAAGTATGGTTAATTATATTATCTATATTTCAGGTCCCGCTTCTTCAAGCAGAATCTCGTTCTTCACTCTCTGTATTGAAATCTTCGAAAAGACAATTGTCAAATAATTTGCCATTAACAGAAACCGCTCATGATTCTGGAAGTTCATCTGTAGAGGGCCACTCAGATTCTAGTCAATCAATAGGTAAAAGGAAACGTTCTACCGCAAGGTAAGTCTCACAACATTATCAGATACAATAATGTAATAACAATTAGTATATATAACATTTTTAAATGATCGAGCATTAATTTTTCAGAATAATAGATGTTATGAAAGACATAGAACGTCATATGTTAAAATATGGTGAAGATCTTAATCGTATACAACGTATGGTAGAGCAAATTGCTGTTAAGCAACGAGAACAAGGTGAACACCATTATACAATGAGTATGTTAAAAAACTTTATAGATACAATTCTCATTATTGTAATAGTTTTCTGTGTACAATACTTGGTAAAAATGTGGACCGCAGAACTCAGCGGGGGTTGAAAAATGCGATAAAATATCGCAATGTACATTTTATATGTTATTTATCTCCTCTCGATTCGAGTTGTCAGCTTTTATCCAAGGAAGCCTTAATGGCAGAGATACCTAAAATTTCGAATACCTAATTTACACGTGCTTTTGTTTTTGGTGAAGGAATAAGGCACGCCGTGTTTAGTAGAATATCGCTATAACATAGAATAAGAATCCAGAGGTTTCAAGGAATATTCTGTAAATGCAGTGCAATCTTGTTTTATTTAGTTTTTACAAGCTTTATTTCACACTATTGTAGGGCAACACCTCCTTCGCATTGAAAAATGTAGAGTTCACTTTCTAGTGATTACTATAAGACAATTTAGTTCTTGAATAGTCCTCGCAGTGACGAAAACTGTTAAGGGTATGGGGGATTGAATTCACTATTTCGTTGAGCTTATCATGTACATAATATTTTATATCATATTGCACGGAAAGTAATTATATATTTATTCAGAGAACCTAAGATGTTGTAGTCTTTAATGCAGTCGCTCAATAATAAACTATAATATTAATAAGATTCTTGTAAAAATGATAACATATATTATTGTAATAAATTTTATTATATTACCTTGAACTACAAAGATTACGAAAAAGGGGAGTGTTAATTGCAGTTCCAAGTTAAATATAATATAAATTTTACAATGGTTACCGAAAATGGCAGCTTGAAGATATTAGTGCATCGGTCATTAGTATTGTTGTTTATTAGACAATATGTATACAGTAAATGTCGAATGTTAATATTGTCGATGCAATATGAATGAAAAAAGTCGTCCAAAATTTTGAAATAGAGCTTAAGCCGTAATTTTGATTTTGTATCTTTATATTGCCGAATTTATTGCAACGTATCCAATAAGAGTCGCGTGACTTCGTTTCCATATTTAGATACACCCGCATGAACTTATACCACTTTATACTCTAGCAACTTAAAACGAATTTTAATTATATATGCTTATAAATTATTGCAACTTTGAATGCAAGAATATCGATCCTCTAAGTAAAATACTTTGCCGGTACAAATACCAGAACATTTAGTAATTTTAATATTAAGGTATATGACAAAAATATCTAAGTGATTT